AAAGCCAAAAATGTTTTTTTGTGCAAAATGATAGTGATAACTTTTGTGTGAAAACCATTTTCTTACATTACCAGCAAGCTGAGGTCCGTTTTTTGTAAAGTCAGGACATTTGACTGGTCCCCACAAGCTATTTTGCAAGGGGTTATGTTTAGGGCTAAGGTATGGATTGAGTTTATTTTAGGGTTCGGTTTGTGTTGGTATGGTGAAGGTTGGGTATTGGTCTGGGTGAGGTCATAAAGATAAACGCAATATGAATAGAAGTCAATGGAAAGCCCTCACAAGGATAGTGTGACACATGTTTGTGTGCATAGTTTTATGTTGCCCTGCAATGGACTGGTGACTTGTCCATAGCTCACCCATAGACTGCTTGAGATAGACACCATAACCCAATGACTGTCATGGAAAGTTAAGGTTGAAATATTGTTATGGAGTCATACAGCAGTAAATGACTGCTCTTTGTCTCATGTAGACACTGGGAAAAAAAAATGATTTTTTTGATGTCCATGATAAGTGCATAAATCGAGCTGTACAGAATTTTTAAAAAGAGATTTTCTCAGGTGTCACAAAAAACACATTTTCACATGCTGTGAACACATTTTCTTCCCCAATAAGCTTCATACATCCATTCAACTGAAGTCTGTAGTTGTCTGGATGGTCTGGCTGATGACTCCACCAAGGCTACATGTTGTTGCAGTATAGTTAGACCTCTACAGTGTGCCCTATTCCTCCGCCTACACAATTTGTTCGCTTTCTCTCTTTTGTAACAAACCTTCCAACTTATGTTACTCTATGTCTAATCTATATTACAAGACACAAATGCCTCCATTAGATTCCTGCAGTATCTTTTTGTGCAAAATAGTTCAAAATGCATAAAAAAGTTTTTCTATCAAAAATATCTGGAGCTAAAATTGAAAACAAAACATAAGGTTTTTTCATGTTTGTCTCTTGTAGAAATAAAATAAATGAAATGATCTTTTGGAAAAGAGCCAACTTTAATCAATATTAAAAGAAGCATATTATTGATCCCAAAGGGAATTTAAATCATATTCTATCTGTGTTTGTTCTCTCAACTCAGATGAATGGGCGGAGTCTAGCACACCTAAGCCAGCGGGATGCTTTGAGGATTATTGCTGCAAGTCAGCGCCCCATTACCCTGCAGATCAAGGGCCAGAGGAGGCGGGGTAATGACGGAGACAGGGGCTCCTGGGAACCCCTACCACTTAACCTGCAGCATCTCAACCTACCTCTTCCTATGAGGGGGACAGGAATGAACACATCTAGCCCCTCCTATCCAGACAGGTAAACTCACAGAGACCAAAATGTGTGACGACTTTTGTCACCTGTATGTTAATAAACAAATGTCATAAAGAGCTGTTTTTGTTCTTTGAAAACCTTTTTTTGAAAGAGTGAAACCCACCAGTCATAATATTTTTGATCATTTGCTAAATTCTTCTCTAAAATATGTCATGTCTTTACACACAAACAAACAAACAAACACACACACAAAAAAAAACTTCCAATTTCAAGGACTTCTTCAAATCTCGGCTAAACACTGTAAAATAATAAAATGATAGGCTTGCATACTGTTTGATATCTATGATATATAAATTCCATTTCAGATTTTTAAATGTTTTTCTGTATATCATAAGCATAAAAAGAAAAAAAAAAAAAACTCTGCTCATACTTCAGACCAATGTCTATAAATTTAGTGTGCCCTTATGAGAAAAGTCAAATGAACATTTTATATATACACATTTTTTTTTTTCAAAAAATTCAGGTATTTTCTTAAGGGCTTCACTTCTATGAATTTCATAAAAGTGTAAAGTTTCTGAATTGAAAGACATGATTTTTAAGCTGTCTCACGTCTAAATTTTAATTTTTTTGTTTTCTTTCAGGCATTACTACAGTCACCTGTCTCTGCCACAGGATCACTGTGATGGAGGATGGTATAGCTATATGTCAAGCTCTCCACAGGACACCGTAGAAATCAACCATCAGGTGACACAAAAAAAACCCCCAAAAGAAATGAACATAAACACGAATACATGTCTGTTTGTTAATACTATCAGAAATCTAAAATAAAAAAGCAATTCTACAGCACCTTGCAAACTTTATTTACACTGTTTGTAAATTTCCACACTCTTCTAACAGTACTATCAACATGTTTAATTGGGATTTTGTACGAAAGACCTAGACTAACACATAATAGTTGAGTGGAAGAAAGGTGATACATTTTTTTTTTCTTTTTTTTTTTTTTTTTTTACAGTATATTGAGCAGTAAAAATATAGCATATCAGTAAATATTTTATAGAAGTATATTTTGTTGGATTATAAGGCTCTATGTCTACTTGGCTGTGTCTGATATGGAACTCTGAGGGGCTACAGTGTGTAGTGTGTTTTTTGATTAACCTATTTGGTGAATTAAAAGCCATCCATGGCAGATGGGGAGCTTACAGCCAGCAGACAGTAAGACTAGAATAGCACTCTTTAAGTAACATACGTAATTTTTTTCATGTTTTGCTCTCCCTTAAACTTTCAGGATCTAGAACTCGCCAGTCGTCGACAAAAGAGGAAGAACTGTCTGTTGGGATGTTGCAATCCTGATTTAGATGAACCTACCACTTGCCACAGCCAGGTATCTACATTTTATTTAACAGGAGCAGTAATTCTGTCTGATAGTCCTTCTCAGCCACAAGATGGGAATCCAGTATTGCTCTAAAATTTATTTGATCAAACTTCAGTGAGAATTTTATATAATTCCACATACAAAGACTCAGTCTTAAACATTATGATTTGGAAAATATATTGAACGTAAAAGCAATGTTTACTCTCCTCTGTTTGACTATATGGGGTATAATCAATGCAAATGTTTTCATTTAGGTAAAACAAACAAAAATTTGACTTAAAAAGAAAAAAATACATTTCAGGGACAGTATATCAAGGTTTGAAACTGAAGAACACAGAATAAGGGAGTCTACACTCGATGATTATTGTAGTCTTTTGAAGATTTTGCAGACTTTTTTCATGCCAATTTGGCTGTTATGTCCTCAGTAATTGCTTTTACAATCTGTCATGCATAAAATAACTACATAAAAACAGGATAGATAAATGAAAATAAAAATACTTTATCCAAAAATTTCTTATTGTATTTGGCAGCTTTTTGTTCCATAAACTCATTGGGTTTCGTCTGAGAAAATATAATTTTTAAATAAAATGAAAAAGATAATTTTGGCTTCTGATTTTTCTGTTTGTGAACAATAATTTAGAATTAGCATCTTTTTTTTATTTGTAGACAGATGATGAGGACTTCATCCTGGAGAAGCCATTGGGTTTCATGCCCCTTCATCATGAGTTGGACAGTGGCCTGGGCTGGACCGATGGCTCCCTCCATCAAGGGGACCTCTCAGGACTGGAGACAGAGGAAGGAGGTCTGGAAGACTGTCATCCACATGGGAACTTTCCCACTGGAGGGTGTGGTGGGTTTGGAGGTGGGGGATCTCCATCCTCAGAGTCTTTTATTTCCTCCGAGCTCAGCGACTCAGGCTTTTATAGTGTAAGCACTGGGGAGTTCAGGCACTTCCAAAGGCTCCTAGAGAAGAGGATGCGTCTGTACAATGCCAGGATGCAGCATCAGAGTGAGCAATGCGAGAGGCGAGAGAGACGTGACAGCTGCCCCAAGAGCCACCGAGAGCTGCTCGAGTCCATACCAGAAGCCTTGACAATGCAGCCCCCATGTCAGCACCTACAACATGAAGATGGAGCCGGGCCGGTCATGGATGTCCAGCCTCGTGGACTTTTCAGGTAATTTTGAAAAAAAAAAAACTTTCCTTGATCAGTTGAATTGATTTTTTTACACTGGTTGAATTTGATTTTACTTTTAGTTGTGAGAAAAGAAATCACTTCATATTCAATTTTGTTTAGGACAAATTTTTTTCAGAAACAATTTTAGGCTGGTGACAGCATTCATGTACTCATGGTATTCAGAAAAGATAAATGTGTCAGATAATAGAACAAAAAAATTTGGTGACAATTTTTTTCCAACCACAAACTTGAGGTTGAAGTAACTAGCGGGAGGAAGAAGAAATGAGACTAATGAGTGACACGACTGGCGCTGTGGGTAACTGCAGCCACCAATCTAGCCAGAGTGTGCAGAAATGCAGACATGAAGTATTCACAGCACTTCACTGGTAATGCTGTAACACTGTTCACTAAGTGACGGTTTACTACAAGAGCACCGGATATATTTTATGACCCTAACAAGGCCCATGTCAAGCAAGTCCTCTACTAAGAGTCATAGATATATTTTGGCCAATGGAGTGGAATGTCCGAACATGGCAGCTATCTTACAAAAGTCAACTCGCTCACTAATGGTGATGTACTTTTTGAATAATCATAAGTTGCTCTTTAAACAAACCAAAGCAATGGCATATCATGTGCAGATTAAATTTAAATGGAAAGGGAGGGCAATTTACCACAGATGTAAAATTCCTGAAGAAAAAAAATTGTTTTTATACAGACATATAAACATATATATAAATAAAGGGAACACGTAAACAACACAATATAGCTTAAATCTGATCAAACTTCTGTGAAATGAAGCTGTCCACTTAGGAAGCAACATGAATTGACAATCCATTTTACCTGCTGTTGTAGAAATAGAATAGACAACATGTGGGAATTATTGCCAATTAGGAAGACACATTCAACAAAGGATTGGCTCTGCAGTTGGAACCGCAGACCTCTTCTCAGTACCTATGCTTTTTGGCTGATATGTTGGTCACTTTTAAATGTTGGTGGTAGCATGGTGTGGATTCTACAATCCACAGAAGTGGCTCAGATAGTGCAGCTCATCCAGGATGGGACATCATTGTGAGCTGTGGCCAGAAGGTTTGCTGTATCTGTCAGCATAGTGTCCGGAGGCTGGAGGCACTACCAAGAGACAGGCCAGTACATCAAGAGATGGCAAGGAGGCTTTAGGAGTGCAGGACTGCTTCCACTGCCATTGTGCAAGTTGGAACAGGAGGAGCACTGCCAGGACCCCGCAAAATGATGTCCAGCAGGCCACAAATGTGCATATGTGTGCATAAATGGCTACAATCTGACTCCATGCGGATGGTATGAGGGCCCGACGTCCACAGGTTTGGGCTCACAGCCCAAAATTGATCAGGATGCCTGGTGTAGGCGGCTATCATCCAAAAATTAGTCACTGAGAGGAGAGCAGGGATCTGTTCGACGCGCTGAATCCAAGGAGGAAAAATGAAGCTTTACTGCAGTTAGGGATGTTTATTGTACCCTTTTTCTGTGAAGCATTGTACAACAGGTAGATTTGCAGGCTGTTTTGCTTTAAACTTGCGATCAACAGAAATATTGGCACCCTGCCTTAGCCTCTGAATCAAACAAACAAACAAACAAGCAAACAGCCCCAGAGCAGATCCAGCTGATATTCATTAGACAATCATTCAGCTCCGGACACATGCCAACACCTACTTATAGCTCCACCCACACATGCCCATACATACCTTTAACACATGCACCCTACCCTTAGCGACATGACAAAAATGCATCCTTGCCTCTACTCCTGGCATTTGCCAGAGAACACCAGAATTGGCAAACTCGCCACTGGCATCCTGTGCTCTTCGCAGATGAAACAGATTCATAGCGATCATATGTGATCATATGGAGAGTGATCTGCTACATAAAAACATCCTGTGGTGCGACCGATTTGGCAGTGGGTGAGTTATGGTGTGCGGTCGCATTTCTTTGGAGGGACGCACAGCCCTCCATGTGCTTGCCAGAGGTAGCATGACTGGTGCGGTCGGCCATAAGTTTCTTATAATGCAGGTAGACCTTATGTGGCTGGGGTGTCAGCAGTTCCTGCTAGATTAAGGGATTAAAGCTATAGACTGGCCTGCCCGTTCCCAAGACCTGAATATAATTAAAGACCTTCAATATAATTAAAGTCTTCCTCACCCATTGCGGGTGGTCTTCCCCCCTTTTGCCTCCAAGCTCGGGTCCTCTACCAGGAGGCCTGGGAGCTTGTGGGTTCTGCACAGTTTTCCAGGGATCCTATGTAACCATATATATATATATATATATATATATATATATATACTCATTGAGCATTTCCGTTAAATAACATGATTTGCATTTTTGCGGATCGCTTACCTTCACTGATATTTTAAATGTTTTAAATATTATATATTTCTTCTTGCTTTCCACCACAAAAATTAAACCCTGTTAAAATTTTACTAAACAACTATCTTTTTACTGGTTTGATGTTTGACAAAACCCCTTAAAAGGTAACTTTTAATGCTATTCTATTTGTGACCAGTCAGAACTGTACAGCATGCCATCATTTCTTTTTTTGGTTTCCTTTTTTTAACTTAATAATCACCAATTTCTCAATCTAAATAATAAAAATTTTCACAATTTATCCACTACGTCTTTCAGTATTTACATTTACCGGTATACATTTTGAGTAGTCCCATGTTTTATTTATGTCTTTATTTGCAGTGTGCACTGTCATATCAATTGTGTGCTCAGCCATCTGGCCATTTATTTTTTGGACAACTCATCTTGCAGCCCACAGTGCGTTGGTGTTTGTTGAAAAGCAGAAAATTCCTAACTAACCTCTGTTTAAAACCTTGACTTAATTTTGTCCTTCGCAGCTGATTTTTTTCCCAGTGTTTATAAATTAACAATCCACTAGGTTTAAAAGTAACATAATCAAAATTGGTTTCTCCCGAGGGAGGCGCCCATGGGGCATCCAGTACAGGCATCTGAGCTACCTAAACTGACTCCTCTGGAAGTGAAGGAGAAGTAGCTCTACTCCGAGCCTCTCCTGGAAGGCAGAATTCCTCATCCTAGCTCTAAGAAAGTACCGGGTGACCCTGCGCAGGAAGCTATCCAGGATATTGTTATTTTAGTCATGACCCAGATTTAATGGACATACAGTAGGTCAGAATAAGAGCATATACAGACCGGTAAATTGAGAGCTTTGCATTTTGGAGACTGGAGCAGCGTTCACAATATGGCAGAAGCTGCAGTGATCTGTCTGCTGATCTCCTGCTCCATTGTCCCCTCGTTCATGAATAGGACCCCAAGTTGCTTGAACTCCTGCTCTTTAGGCTGGGGCTCTCCTTCTACCTGATGAGGGAGAGCAAACGTTTTACGGTCGAGAACCATGGACTTTGTCTTCGAGGAGTTTATCTTCCCCATGGGTGCTTCACACTCTGTCTTGGTAGGAAGAAGCCAGCAGAACCATGTCACCTGCAAAAGTAGGGATTATATTCACTGGTCTCTAAACCAGACCCCCTGGGAGCCTAGGCTACCCCTACAAATCCTGTCCATAAAGGTTAAGAGGGACTATAGAAAGCAGCCTTGCCTGATTCCAGAATGCAATGGGAATAGGTCCAATTTAATATAAGCAATGAGGACCAGGCTCCCTTTCCACTTGTACAGTGACTGGATGGACCCTAGTAAAAAATGACGCCCAGTAAAGGGGTTATCCAGCCATACATTTGGAGCACCTACCCAAAAGGCACCAAATAGGACATGGTCAAATGCCTTCTCCAGGTCCACAAAGCACATGTGGACTGGTTGGGCAAACTCCTATTATCCATTGAGTACCTTGCAGAGGGTGTCAACTTTATATAATTTTCCATGGCCAGGATGAAAACGATTCTGCTCATCCTAAAACATCTCCACAATTCTTGGATGAGTCTCACGAGCTCCCCTAGACTGCTGGAAACAAGCAATAAATCTTAGTGCATGTAAACTTTTCAATTTAGATAAAGTAAACAATTTAGTCAATAAAAAAAAAACTGCAAATACAAATACTTTTTTTTTATCTGATCAGAAAAGGTGTTGTGATTTAAAGACTGACAATAAAAGGAAATAATTGTCATGTGTCTTTTCATACTGTGTTAACATGTGGTTTCAGCTAGCATATTTCTTGTATTTTACTTCCAGGGTTTCTTCAGTCCAGTTTCATAAAGCTGACCGACCATGTCTGAACCGTCACAGCTCCAGCAGCGGAGCCCTCTTCAACCCCTCCCATGCTGCAGTACCACGGATTAATGCTCCGGTCCTCTCAACCTGCAGCACGCCCTCCAGTCATCGAAGACCACATATTCCGATGCAGCCACAGTACAGCCACCAGGGTTCAAGCTCAGTAGGGATGTTGAGGAGAAGCCGAACCCTTCACCATCGACCTCCTCCACAGGAATACCGACGTCGGGCCAGCCACCCAGCATCACCTTCTTATTGTGCTGCTACTCTTCACTACTGTGGAGGTGTCACGCCACACAATGTCCTTCCACCAGGTCTGCCAGAGGAAACTGAGCTAGATGCTGGTGTGATGGCCTCCCACTCTACAGGCATGACCCTATCACCCCAACAACACCCGGCTGCTCTTGGGCATGTCAGAGGCAGCAGCAGCAATGAACGATGCTACGACAACTCAAGTGGCCAGATCACTCAAAATGACTGGTGGCACACACAAGACAGGGACCCAATGCCAGAGCCGATGGCAGAAAGAGAAAGGGAGATGGAGAGGGAACTGGAACAAAAGAGACAATTGCAAAAGGAAAAGGAGATAGAGAGGGAGAGAGAGAGGGAGCGAGAGATTGAAAGAGAGAGGGAGAGAGAAAGGGAGATGAAGCTTCAGGAGGAGAAGGAAAGAGAAAGGCAACTGGAACTAGAAATTAGCAGAGCTAGAGAGCAGCAATACCTCCAGAGTCATGTTCTCCCATCCCAGCCAGGAGACGTCAATGATACCTGGCCAAAACCAGCCAGTCGTCAGTCTTATGGAGCTGGAGGAGGTAGAGGTCTCTATAGCACTTTGGAAGGCCACACAGGAATTGGTAATGCTGCTGAATGTGAGGCAAAGAACGGACAGATAAATGAAAATCCCAGTTCTAATCCCAGTTCTGGTCATCAGCCAAAACCTAATCAAAGCTCTAGACCCAACACCACGTCACGAGTCACAAGAAGCCAGTTGCTCAGAGACCGAGCACATCAGCTGGCAGACGAACGAAGTGGAATGAGCACAGATGAAGAGACCAACACTGACATGCTGCTGGGGCGCTACTGGAGTCGAACAGAGAGAAGAGAACATTTTTTGTTGGCCAGGGAGCAAAAGCAGCAACAGTTGCTGGCCAGAGGAGGGCCTGTACGTGATGCTGTGAGCAGGGGAGGAGCATCTGCTGGAGAAGGAAGCTTAATGGAGAGCAGGGGAGTCGGACCTTTTGCTGAAAGACGATGCAAAACCGTCCTTGAGTTGAGTCAACGTAAGCTGAGTCGTCTGAGGAACAGAAAGCTGTTAGATGACTGGACAACTGTAGAGGAGCTTCTGACTCATGGGACCAGGTTGGATAACCAGGAGGAGATGATATGTCCAAGCTCCCTGTTGACAGTGACCACTGTCTAACTGCATGTGTACAATGTCTAATTGAAACTCTGTGTGAGCATACATGATCTTAAACTAACACTATAACATTGTCTGAATCGTCTTGTTCTGTCTTTCTTAGAGATGGATGAACAGATGGATGTCAGCTAAGTAGGCATCTAAAAGTCAGTTCTGTCAAAGTTTGGATAAAAACAAACAATGTGAGAAGAAAATCAGCAGTGGCAGCTCTCCCAACAAAACTTCAACTTTCTTGGGTTCCTCATAAAACTTCAATTAGATATCCAGCCAGCCTTGGTTAAATCACATCTGCTTTGCTTTAGCTATGACATTTTTTTCTAAAAGCCCCATTAGAACGGACAGCAGTAGAGTATCTGGTAATTGTGAAATGGTTCATTGCCCAGGCAGTGTGCGGATGCGGTGGGGCTGATGAGTTGTGTCGGGTCAGGAGCACTTCACATAAGCAGCATGTCTGTGGCATTCAAACCAGTTTTGTATTGATTTTTTGCATGCACAGTCAATGGGCAGCACATTGCTGGGCGGCGTCAAATTCCAGCCTTTAACTTTAGAGCTAAATTAAATGGCTATTCCTTTGTGTTTGATCAAGTTTTGTACAAAATAAATGTATAGGCCAAATCTGTAATGTATATAATGATAAAATGTGAGGTATATTATTCTACAACGATTACAGACTCTCTAAAATACAGTTTGCAGAAAGTTTATTTCATTTATGAAAATGCATAAAACAGCTTGCAGTCTATTACACAAAGGAGTAAAACTAAACACGTATATCCGACATTGGGATTTTATGTGAGATGCAGATGGAAAGGCTTGCCCGAGACTCAATTCATTCTAGAATCGTCTGACTTTATCCACAGATTGACACGTATTACTGTTCCCCTGTTGTTCTTAGCTTATTATTAAGTGTGAGTTGTAATTAAAGTCTTTTAGGACTTCATTTGTTATTAATATCTGAAGTTCAAAGACAAAACTGACATCCATTCTCTAATTTCTCTGTGGAAGAAAGAACAAGAACATTCCCACAATAGTTGCATTGTTGTTTTAACAAATATGCCTGGAATGGGAAACTTCACTCTCATTGCTTTGCATCACCTCAACTGATAGCTTTATGTGTGGGTGTGTGACCACTGTACAGCACTCCGGACCAAACGTGTGAGTCAGTGCATGACGATTGAAATGCTAAACAAATGAGCAAGGTCTGATAACCTTGTATGTGTTTGCACCATGTGATTCATGCTACACACAACACAGTATATTTCACACAATCTTTAAAATAATTACAGATATTTGGGTTTGGATCTCCAAGAGGGGATCAAATATTTTCAGGAGCAATATTGCTGTGCTAGATATTAGTTCTTGTCACACATTCCTCTCACGCATATTTAAAAAAGACAAAAATCAGTTATAGCAATGCTAGGCAACATGAGTTTTGATACAAAATCTCAAACTTATCTTTTTTTTTTACTTATTTAATGAAACCATATTTAAGAAAAGGAGTCTACATAGGTTTGTTCAAACACAAATGAATACATATGCTGCAATCTTTAGGAGGTATTTTATGCTGCATTTATGTAACACTGTTGATGCCAAAACAAAGATATGTAATACAAAGCTGTGTACATCTGATTGTAAAAAAATCTATTTTAAGAAAAGTTTTAGATGATTTAGAGTAAAAAAAGCAAAGACAAAAAAACAGTGGTAAATTGGTCCTCATTTCTACTTATCTCTAATTAGAGTCTTCTGTTAGGACTGCTATAAATATGAAGGGATTTACAGCGACTACACTATTAGTAGCTTTAATTCCTAATATGATAATTACAGTAACTTGTCTACTGCTGTTCCTACTATTTTCAATTACATTCTGCATTTACCACTTAGACCTGACTGGGAGAACTAAAGTATACACTGATATTTTATTAGCTATTTATGCTTTAATACAGAACACTTTGGTTAGAGACATGAATGCAGCATAGAATAATCAATCCACCATACAGTAGCTTATGGCTCTCCTTTCCTGCCAGGGATTTTACAATCGGCAGGATGTTTACAGTTCTACGCATAAAGCAGTTTATGCATGTTTACTCCAATTCAGAGTGGCAAGTTGACTGCAGAGAAAAGGTTTTCAAGTAATGACAGGAGAACTTTGATAAACCATGTATATCAGGGACGTGCTGAAATCCGCAACGTCCGTTCTGCAGGTAGAGCTCAAGAGACATTCCACTTCAAGCTTGTGACAGGTCCGCAGTTCAGGAACAAGTGCAATAATACCTCAAGTTAGTTTTATCAAGGTAAAATAAGGTGTAAGATTTTCAGTGAATGCAGAAACTGGTTTTAAATAATTACAGATGCACAAAGTGACAAGACACCACAAGTGCACAGTAATCTTGGAGTCTGCAGCGTCAACAGCAACAGTTATAGAGATATTTACAGTGTTTTCCATGAGAGGGACCTAAGAAGAAAAAAACTTTTTGCACATCCTTTTTATATAAAAAGTTTTCCCTACCTTTCTGTACCAGGGACTTAGGCCAGTGGAACAACTGTAGATAGAACAACAGTGTTTGTTGATGTTATCTTTATAAAACTGTCATAGTATTTCATGGAGGAAAAAAGTAGTTTATTGTGATTGTGTTGGACATATTTCAATATTTTCTTGTGACGGTTTCAAAACCAACGTGGACGATTTTAATGATCTTCAAATCCTTCGATTCTAGTTAAGTCATTTAAAAGCTAGTGAGGTTTTCTTTTGCTTTTCTTATGGAGAGAACACACTATATAAATATTATTGTCTCTAAATAGATTTTTGAAATAAGATTTACTGTTGTTTTGTGTCATTCTGACATGTACATATTGATTTTGTCACACAGTGCGGCTGAGTGTGATGAGGGGATGATGGTGCCATCTGATGCCTCCAGTGGTTTTTCATGTGATTCTGTAGTTTTATAGCTGTGTTATAGGAGGCTGTATATACAGCACAGAGAAGAAACTTGTATCATCAAAATATTTCAAACAACACGTCATTGTTCATACGTGATTTTTCTGTTAGTTTTGAAAATGAAGAGTGCTATCCACACATTATATTATATGAAGAGAACCTCTAGTTTATTATTATTATTTGGAAAAATTTTTTTGCATCTGGCTGTTTGGAATGAGGTCGACCCAGATATTAACTATTTTATGATAAAAAAAAAGTGATGGAAACAAGAATTTAGAATGATGCCCTCTTGCCCTTTCTTTTTTATAATTTTAAAAATATCACCGATTGCATAATAAAACTGATGATTTAAAGACATATCCCAGGTTACACAGACTTTGGATATGCTTTTTTTTTCTTTGGCTGAAAAAATTGTCAGAAATGTGCAAGTGGACTCCATTTTTATTATATTTTAAGTTACATCAGTTGTTTTTTTTTTGCCAACTTTGGCTTTAGAAAGCGAAATTGCTCCACTCCATGGTATTTGCTGATGTAAAAATGTTCAAACTGATTATTTTTTCCTCATTCGTTACATAATCAGTGAAAAAAGAACTACTGACAAACTAGTTTATGCAGTGTAAAGCTCTAACCTATTTTCTCTCTTTAAAATATTCACTCATTTAAATATGTTACTATAAAGAAAAGAGGCAGATATTTTGTAATGGTTCAAAATTGTCATTTGGTAGGTTTAGATTTGCAGTTATGTTTAATTTTGACCTAAATATTTCTCAGCCATTAAACACTGAAGGCAGACATCAGTCGCATTGATTAAGAAGTTTTATGTTAAACACAAAATCTTGTTTACATGTAAATTATCTTCCCCACCCCCCCAGAATCCCAGTATCAAATTATTTTGAAAAATGTCCATGCCATTTCTAATCAGAAACACGTGTCTTATTTAAATGAAAATCATTTGAAATGCAAATACATACATAATCAATGATGATGTAAAGTCATATTTAGTATTTGCTTCTAGTTAAAGATTTTCTACTTAAAACTAGTGAAAATTTCACAGTCAGGATTAATAGTTTAGAGGAGACCAATAAAACAGCTTTTTTAAAAAGGTTATTATTTTGAAAGGGTCCCTTAACCAAAAAAAAAAAGAAGCCTACTCATGTTCTAATTAATTGATGAGGATTTCATATTTTGGTTCAGAAATATCCAACCCTTCATTATAAATAATGTGTCATAAATTCCCAGGATGAGTCTGCATAAAACATGACTACCTTTTAAATAAATGAACCACTGCATTCAGAAAAACCCTAGGTAAAGCACTGGCACAAAATCCTTAAAATAAATTGTTATGAAGATGTGTGATCTATGCTGCTGTTTTAATACTAAATTTAATACTGAATTTATACTAATTGATCTCCTCCACCTGACTATGTGATGTGGAAAGCTAAAATTGGATCCTCTCCCAGCCTATTGTGTAACCTGTTAGCAAGCAGCTAATTTCTTGTAGCCATTTTCTAACTTAAAGATAAATATATTGTAAAGATCCCAACATCTGGCTGGCTTGGATGGGGTTTCTTTCCAAATCCAGGCAGATAATTGCAATAATCGACAAGAATTGGGACGCTGATGTTAATTTATTAGAAAAACAAATGCATTTTTTTTTTTACTTTTTCCTAAATAAAATTTTCGTCAAGTTAAAGATTTGATTTAGTCTCAATTAGATAAAATGATGCTGCTGAACTAAAATATATATTATTTTGAGGATTTTAACTAATTGTCACCTCAGGGGATAGTAAACGTGTAGAGAATGGGTTGTTTGAAACTGAAAAAAACAAATCACCATGATAGCATGTCGGACTAACAGTGGCACCAGATTAATTTATTATGTATTCTGGATTGAGTCCATTAAGTCAAACTTTGCATTTCTTTCAGCCTTTGTATATATGATCTCTTTTTGGATTGCATTAACATTTGATAGGTTTGACCTAAGGTAAACAGAGAACATGGTGGTTAAGCAACAGAATACTTGGACTTTATTTCTATATTCCTCTCTCTAACTCTCTCGGTTGTGATTCAAGCAGTCTGAATAATGGATGACGAAGAGAGAAATTTTTCCTGCCGCCCACCCCCCCTCACCCTCTTTGCTTACGTTACACGAGGACACGGATGGCTGAAAATAGCGCCTCTGTCCTCATTGGATGTGAAATTAAAAGCACACTCGAGCGGAGACACTTGCTGCTGGTGAACAAAAAACACTTGTTCTACTCCATCTGACAATCCCTCCATCCAGCCTGCAATACCAAAAACATCTGTCTGTGTAGGGATACATGTACTTTTCACTATGGCAAGCTTTTTGAAATATGATGATGTACATGTGATTGTAATAAAGAGATTTTAATTAGCTATGACACTGTTTTCAGGTTTATTTTTATATTAAATTCACTCATACATCTAAGCCCTAAATCATAATCATTTGAGATTAAGGTTTTAAATAATCTAAGATATTTAGCATCTTTCTTCTGACTTGAATGTGTTGAAGCTCTATGGTTGAAGTTACAGTAAGATTGGAGTTAAGGCTGGGAAATAGCAGGGATGCCTTTTAAGATAAATATCATTGGAAAAGGCAAATACATAAAGATGATCAATAATAATTTTTTGATGGCTGGTTCCAGAAAAAGGGCCAACAGCGGCCAATGCTCCTCCAGGAACTGGCTATTATGACTCCTGTACTAAAGATATACTTATTATACAAAAAAAAAAAAAAAAAAAAAAATGAATGATTGTATGCATTGGAACAGTAATAGGGCCCTAGGATCCATTTAACTTATTTTTATTTAAAGTTCTGTTTTAATTGTGATTTAAAATGGCAGAGAGGTTTACAGTTTTCATCTGCTTAAGGTTATTTTGAACCAGACTAAAAACATAAAAAAAAAAAAAGTTTCAGCTGAATTGATCAGTTTTACTTCAGTTCTTATTCTAAATTGGTTAAATGAGGGAATTTTCTTTCGAAATAAGTCAGAAATATGCTATATTTGTAAATGATTAATATACAATGCCCTAATATTAGAAATAACTGCTTTATTTGATCTTTTTGTTGTTGTTTTTTTCTTTTTTACCAACTTATTATTTTAGATGCATTTTTTTACAGTAAGTTTTTTTTTTTAACCAAGTTAAATGAACAGTTTCTCAACAAAAAGCAAAATTTTCTAACAAAAAATGTGATTAAACTAAATCATTGAACATTTGACTTCATTCAGAGCAGAGCCACTAGTAGCTCCTTTTTTCTGTGGTCTCTTAATCTATTTTAAATGATGAATTATTGCTCTGTTTTATTTTTCTTTTATGTTTTTCTGTGCTCCCATGATAACATGCTGGCCCAATACTGGCCCTATTTGGTCTAGAACAGCCACTGATGGTTTATATCATATTTTTTAGAATGATTTCTTTAAAGAAAAAAAATCATGAGAGGTGCCTCATAGGTATCATATCAGAGGGAATAGATGGATGAAAATAATTTCAAAGATAAATCTTTAGTAGGTATAAATCCTTTTGGATTCGACCCTGCCATTAGGTGACATTTTTTAAACTAAAACACAGAAATACCAGGTGTTATATTCAACCTATTTCTGTCTGTAGAATCTGTAGTCTGAAGGATTTTCTACTTTCCTATCGAACAAATTAATTCCCTCATTTAAAGAAGCAAGATATTTTTAGTACATTTCTCAGATTAAGTTTTATTTTTCATCTTTAAAAGAGGAGGATTCAGCTTGCTTAATATATGAGTGGCCTGCTGATCCAAACAAACGAGAGTAAATTAGATGCAAACATTATTCCTAACTGCAGGGTTTTTTTTTCCTGAGGAGAATCTGAGCAGGACTGACATCTCTTCTCAACAATCCACATGAGTAAATTATACATGATGCTGCCAACAGCGCCCTCCCGTGCCCATAGGAGACACTAACAGTCCCTTCTAAACTTGGAACGTATTTGTTCAGAGAATATTCAAAGAAAAAAATGAAATTCTTTGCAGGAATAATATCTCGTTTGGGAAGAAAAAATGAACATATCCTCTCATGTTTGTGATACAGATTAATTCCTCCAATCATCATATATTTCTGACTCTATTATAGGTTTATGTTCTTTCTTATGATCAACAAAAGCATAGCCCAGTTGGATTTTCTATTTGGGTTGTTTCAATCAACAGTAGAAGTTCATTTTGGAAGCAGCATTATAGATAAGCTAAACAAGTGTTTTAACTTAAATAAAAAAGTGTATTTATTCTATTTTCAATAGCAGGACATAACCTGATAGTGATTTAGATAATAATATTTTATTAATACACATTTCAACTATACACTTTAAGACTTATTACTTTACTGTTTTGCAATGTTACCTGGTTGCAAAATCTTCTTCAGTGCACTAGTTTGATTTTCCAAAGCTTCAAAAAGAACTTTAAATAATTTTTAAATAAATGTAATCTAAATATGGGTTTACTTATGAGAATAAATGCCAAAACTTTCTGTCAAGACAACATGGGAAAATCTCCAAGGCTGAAAGTCAAAGTTCATATTAATTTGCATTTTAATCAACACAAGCAGCTGACATCTTCTGGCAAACTGTTTGAGAACATCTGCTCTGATCACTGCTCAGAATAGTGTTTTGGAATTTGAACCATCTAAATTAAGGGGGGAAACATTTTTTAAAACATTAACAGACATTAATAAACATTTGGTAATTTCTAAATAGACAATCACGTTAATTTAAAACTATCAAAGCATATAGTTTAGGACAACCAATCAGGTGGCTTCCCTCCAGATGGTTCCTGGTGTCGCTCTCGCCCTGTGAGCACATCTGTTGCAAGACCTGCATTGAAAGTTCCTTTGTAGAGCACTGGCCACATTTTGGAAGGAGTGGGAAACTGAGAAAGATGGTCCACTCGTTCAACAAAAATAAAACAAGATAGATTTAAAAACAGAAATAATAGAGATTTTTCATTAAATATGAAAAGCTGATTTAAGCTATATAAAGTTATTATATATATAAAGACATTTTAATTCTCAAAAGTGTTATAGAATTTACCTAGACAAGATCAACCAACAACCAACATAAGTAACTGCCGAAAGAAGAAGAGATTATTCCAGAAATTAATGCAATCGTCTCTTTTCCCTAAACTGACAGGATATAAATGTTTCAGTTTTTGTTTTTTCCATCCGTGTTGAAATGATGGGTGTGTGATAAATCATGCTGATCAAGAAGTCAATCGCTCTCTATAAAAAGTTACAACCTTCCCACATTCAAAGAGGACCACCCCCAGTTGTGCACCTGTTCCCATTTAGATCAAGCCATTGTCCTCTAATAACACAAGCACACCCCATGTGGCAGGGCAGGCTTCTATTCACTCTATTGCTGAGCTCTGATTCGTTCAGACTGTGGGAACCTACTTCCAGACTAAGACCCACACATCGGGATGAAGATGGGGGGACTATAAATAAGAGTGCTGTGTTGTATTTTACAACAAGCCAACAGAGAGCAGAATGTCTCTAGAAGAACTCTACTGCAAAGATATCCAACCATGGGACCTATAATCACTGCAGCAACGACCATCTCTTAGGAGCATCTGACTTTGAATAATAAGGTGAATATCAGATCCACCTTTCAATGCACAACTTCAAATACATTTTTGATAATAGCAAAACTACTTACTGGAATGAGTACTAATAACTTTGTTCTTATTTTGCAGTTCAGAAAGGCTCTTGCACAGAAGCAGCACAGAGATTAAAAAAATAACACAATGGAGCAGCTCAAGACACTGCTGGGTTCAGAGTTCCTCAAAAAGCAACCAGACTTCAAGCTGGATAATTAGACATCCTGGAGATGACAGTCTGCTCCCTAAGGCGACTGCAGAAGCAGCACTAGGTGTGTCAAAGAGGTGATGCATCTTCTGATCAAAGTCAGAGTGAAGACGGTTCCAGAGAAGCTCCTGAACTAATCCAACAAGCTGCAAGTTTTTTTTTTCTCTGAAGGACTTTGGAGAGGCTGACCTCTGCTTTGAGCTCCACAGTGGCGCCAATAGACAGGAGTTGGGTCAACAGCGTCATCTGGAGGCCATGGTGGATACTTACAGATTTGATGCAAGAAAAGAAAACATTAATGAGACCACATTGGTCAGACATTGTTTAGCTGCATTGTTGGCTTCTAATGGAACTCTCTAATATAATGATATTTCATATATAATTCATTTCATATTATGTCACATATTAATGACCACAAAACTACTGAATTTCAAAATTTAATTGTTCTGTTCATTCTAAAAATTATTAATTTGTTTCACACTGACTTTACCCAAAGTGCACCTATGTGCCCTTTTACATTTTTCTTTCCTATGGAAAGATCTGGCCACTCTACATTGATCTCTTATCAGATCTAAACGTATGTTACAGACCGTGCTGGTCAAAGATAAATAACTGGAGTGTTTGAAATTCAAAGACTAATTGTTCTGTATATACTGAAGATTGTTGAAATGATTGAACCAATAGTCAATTTCAGAAACTTTTGATCTGTTAGATCTAAGGTGTTTGCGCACTTTGAATTTGTTTCCAATGGAAATATTTAATCACTGCATTTTTTTTTTATCTTTGATTTTTACCACATTTTGTTTAAAAAGAGATCAAGGAAGCATGATTGTGTCTGAAATGTAAACTGGTATTTTCATTTTGAAAACCTGCCCTTTATCACTTTGTGATACACTTTTATAATCTATTTTAAGATTATTTTTGGCTTTGGTATTAAGCCATTATATCCATTTGAGAAATGTTTTCTCATATAATGTTCCTGTCTTTTGTGAAGACGACTGTCCTACTGCTCATTCTGAGTAAAGTGTCTTAGAGATTAACCCAATTTGTTGTTATGAATTGTCATTTTTTGGAACTCAACAGGGGTTTCGATTACTTTATTTAAGTTTCTTTGCACAAATTCAATAAAATCTGATTGACTTGCACATAGAAGTTTCTTTTTGAATTAAACTGAGTCGCCTATATTGACATTGTACAGAGGGAGCTGGTTCTAGTGTCTGGGTGCAGCTACTAAGACGGCCTGCTCACCTCAATGTTTAAATTTAGTTGTCGAGATTTTTAAGAGGAGCTGGGACAAACAGGGTTTTGCCACATAGCCAGAAACTCAATAAATCAGAAATTTGGACAAGAGCTTTAAAAACAAACAATAAGGTAATCCATGAGATTCTGTGATCAACACCTGCTTATCCTCCTAATGGAAGTTTTCTCAAGCCACCTTTAAATCTGCTTTTGTTTAAATTTGTCCTGTGTATGACTATCTTCTTACCCATTTCTCTAAAACACATTGGGATCTCCATCACAAAAGGTGCTTTTCAAATAAATTTC